CTGATCCCCAGGCACTAACACAGGGTTTTTTTCTTCTTTTCTTTTTGTCTAGGGTGTCCCAGGGCTGAAAGGAGAGAAGGTGAGAAAGAAAAGACCAAATGGCATGTCTGGGCACTCGTTGGGTGAGAGGGGCACCTTTCTGTGGCAAAGAGGAGGAGTTTAGCTGTAATGGGGAGAATAACAACCCTATTAATATGTAATTGCAGACACAGGGAGGGATTTCTAGGGGCATCTCAAAGCCTGTAACCTCCTTCAGGCGTTGGTCATGGTCTTTCAAAGTGGTGATGTAAATGATGAAGGCAGAGTGGCTGACTCCTGTCCTCTTCTTCCCCCAGGGCGAGATTGGATCGGATGGACGCAGGGTAAGAAAGGACATTTTCTAATTGCACGTTGTTCCAGCCACCAGCCCTTGAGTCTGTGTTACCAGATCACTGATCCCTCTTTTTTTTCCCCTTGATCCCAGGGTGCCGCTGGCTTGGCAGGCAGGAATGGCACCGATGGACAGAAGGTAATGCCACTCGGGACCACCCTGTAATGTCACTGCTGTTGTTTCACTTCTTCACCCACCCTTGTCTCCACAGGTTGTTTTCTTTCTCCCATCTCACACACTGGCTTTTGGTTCTGACTGAGGTTTCTATTATTCTGCATGTCCTGTAGAAACACGTGAGCTCGCTGGAGATGAATTAATTCGGGTCACAGAAGTTCTATCCCTTCCTCAGCAAGCCCTCTGCAGGAACTAGATGTGTAACCCGGACTGTGCTGGTGCTGCAGGAGGTGATAGGGTTGGATCATCTGGGTGTAGACACCTCTTCTTGAGAGTTAGTGACCCCTACAGGACGTGTACACAAAAAGTTTGGCAGAAATTTGGTTTTCAGGGCAGTTGGTCACAAAAATCTGAAATTTCATCTCTAAGCTACTGCTTGTTCTTAAAAATTCAAGCCCTAAAGCCAACTTCAAGTACCTTGTAACAAAGTCCCTGAAATCCTCTGTCACTATAGTGGGTGGAGAGGGCCACCACCTCCCTTAGATCCACCGTGCAGATGTGTGGCAGTGGGACAGCATGATTTGAGATGATTTCAGCTGACTTTATCCTCTGGCCAGCACACACTGGTTTTCCTCTGGACTTTCTTGAATACCCAGCCAAGTACGTCTGTGGGATAACACCAGTTCTTCTTTACCGCTCCTCAAATGCCTGCTGAAGCTCTGAAACACAAAAGGTCTTCAGTCCCCACCACTCTTTAAGTAGGGTGAGCTGTCTAAGCACTGCCAGCAAAGCCTTTTCGGGGCATAGAGGTTACTGCAGACCAGAGCTGCTCTGACGTGTGATGCACGACAGATGACCAGCTCAACCGTGGACATGAGTGAACACCAATTCCAGCTTCAAGGGCATGTCCATCACCCAGAGCACATGTGTGGGATGAATGTGCTTGAATTCCCACCAGCACCCCTGCTACCACTCAGGGCTTTTAGTCTACTCTCTCCTCCTCCTTTGGACTCTGCACACCATGCTCCTTGTCGTGGTTCTAACCCAGCCAGCAGCCAGATACCACAGAGCTCCACCCGATGGGGTGGAGGAGGGAATCAGAAGGGTGAAAGTGAGATAACTCCTGGGTGCAGATAAAAACAATTTAAGAGTTAAAATGACAATAATTATAATAATAATAGAATATATGAATTATATACCCACCAAAATGATGTCCAGTCCATTCCCAGCCAGAGATCTCAGAGCAGAGACAGTCCTGAAACCAAAACCACAATCCCTGAAGAGAGAGACAGCCAGGTCCCAGAGGTTTCTGGCCCATCCTCATTTATATACTGAACATGATGTCTGTGGTGGTTTCAGCCTCAGCTAAGACCA